TATATATATATATAAAAGTTGATAATAATCTTCACCTTAAAAAAATTAATTTTATAAAATTATATTAAACTTTAATTCAATTTTTTAAAATGATATTAAAATTTATTCTAAAATTATTAATTATTATAAAATTTATTACATCATTCATTATCAAAAATATTCATAAATATCTAATTTTTAATGTTTAATGTAAGATAGATGTGTTAAAAATTTGATATCAACATTGACCAAATTAATATATATAATAAAGGTCAATTCCTATTTTTATATTTACTCCAATTTATTTTTTATACAGTAAAAAAAATGGAATTACTCATCCAAATATTATAAATCTACATCAATATTATGAATGTATACATACGAGCTGCAATGTTTATATTAATAATTTTATTTTCATTCAATAAAGTATATATCGTTGAACAAGTCCAATAATGATAAATATTATATGTGAGGTAACTTTTGACTTTTCTTCAGACATAAATTAAGTAAGGGTATTTGATCTACTCCAATCAACAGCATACTTCGAGATAAAAATCATCAAAATAAACCCTTTTAATTTGTCTCTTTCAACAATTTATAGTGTGCATATAGTCATCATTATATATGATATAAAAATGGATGATGTGGTTACAACTTACAAGTTACAAATGGATAAGTTCCACGGGTTGGTTGGAAATAAAGTTTTGAGAATTGAGATGACAGAAGTTGAAAGAAGAAGAAAGGAAAATTGTGCATGTGGTGGGAGCAACTATAATTCAATCCATTCAAAATCTCAAATGTCGAAGCAAAGGAAAAAAGAAAGATCATGATAAAGATTCTTAATTATGGAGATTGTGCTTGATACAACATTAACCATAATCATCACATAACTGCACAAGGCTCCACTTAAATCTACCAAAGGTAAGTAAGCCAGGCAAAACTCAACCCTCTTACTTTGAAGGGGTTCGAGTTTTAAAAATTATTCTCATGTAATTTTAGACGAACTCAGGTTATATTTTGAATTATCTGAATCTGTCTTAAATTTCAAAAATTATAAAATATTTTCAAATAACAGTGTGTCAATAATAAAAACTTTTTTTTAAATAAATAATATACTTTGTGTATAATATGATATATTTATAATGGTATTGTTTATTTTAAAATATGTATCATAAACTATATTTTAATTTAAAGTTTATATTTCTATTATTTCAATTTAACTGTACATAACATTATTATTAATATATTATGTTAAAAGAATAAATTGACTTGTCTCATATTTTAAGTTTATATCAAGTCGAGTTTAGAATTCAATCAAATTTTTGAATCATATAAATACAAGATAAACTTGTTTTAACTTATCAGTTACTCACCTTTAGGAATTAAAAAAAATTATAAATTTTAAGTAGATAATTAAATAGATACTTACTTAATAAAGAGACGAACATAGATAATAAAATATTTATATTTTAAAAATATTAAAAATACTCTTAATTATATATCAATTAGTTTAATTTAATTTATTTTTACATAAAATATATGTATTATAATTATTTATTTTATTATAAATATATGATATAAATTATTTTTTAATATAAATATATGTTTTAAAATTATTTAATTTTAACTTTATTTTATTTCTTACTTTTTATTTAAAATTTTACAATTTTTCAAATGAATAGTCATGAATATATAAAAATTTCACATATACGTATTAAATGGATGTTTACACTAAATAAAGCGAGTAATAAAAAATTATTATTTGTACTCACCTCATCATATTCATCCATACTCACCTTTAGCAATAAAAGTTTTATAATTAAATTTATAGTAAAAACATGTATAGAAATACATAATTAGGACTATAAATTATAAAGAAGCTTTAAAATATAAACATATATTTCATAATAACGAGATATAAAATTCATTAAAAATGTACATTAAATGAATAATATATAATTTTAACAATTTTTTCAAAAAAGTGCATCACAATCTTCATTGGATTCATTATTATACATGTTATATATACTTTTTAAAAAAATAGTATTTTAGCTTTTAACCTTGACTTAGCATATATGTATTGTAACAGATAAATATTTTTTCATATATAATTATAGCTATTATAATTTATAATAAGTATATATTTTAAAATATATAATTTTGTTAAATAATTTATACTATTTTATAAGATTGTTTCTAATTGAGAAAGTGGAATGTTTCGCTATTTAATTTAAACATTTTAATTTATAGTACAAAAATTATTCTTTACAATTTGAGTTTTAGTTGGTGTTTATTATTTTATTGAAAAAAAAACAAAAAAATTTAATTCTATGCATTCTCATATATGTTCACACTACATGCCACAGCGAGTTAAAAATTTATTTAATATTTATAAATGTAATATATATATATATAAAATAATATTTTGTAATCACATATCATATTTTAATTAATTTAGATACAATGAAAAATAATTATTTCATTGAATTTATAAAATAATTTATATAACAAACTGTCTTAATCATCACACTTATGAATCATTTATTGCAAGCAGTGGAATGATTAATATACTTAAAACTATATACTCATAATATCTAAATATACATAATATAACATGTATATAATTTAAGTGTACAAATAATAAAAACAACTCTACAAGCATATACAATATATGTATAATCATCCAACATAAACATATTATAAATCCTAAGTTGTCGGTCAAACAATATTTATACAAACCAATAAAAGTAGTCATCAACTGCATCACCAACAACATGGTCCCATTGTAGCTCCAAAAGCCCACTCTAGCTAACTTTGTTCTACTTCCATAAAAATCATGATTATCACAGTTCAATTCACATGAAAAATACATAAGGATAAACTAGATTTCAAAAACATACAAGTATAAAAAAGAACATCTATACTACTTTCCAATATGTAAACCAACAAAAAACACAGCACATGATTTACAACATACAATGTACAACAATCAACATGTTTGAAAGTTAAATACCCAAGTTAGTGAAACATTCACCACAAGCATACCATACATTAAGGTATTCACACCATGCATATGAATATTATCAACTCACACCACATCATATGCAAACAACACATCTAATGAGTTGTCACACATTCACTTATAGAAATCTCCTAACACATTTGAGCAATCTAACTGACTTAATCCAATCAAATCAACTTGATCATTTTCATGCTTAATGCATCGACTAGATCGACAACTAAAATAAAATACTAATCCCTACCTCTAATTTCTTGGGTGTTGTCATTTACACTAGAAAAGTTTGGTTTCATCATCAAGACTAGTATAACTTGGTATAGGCGTACAACAACCTTAACATACATTACTGAGTCACTTATGAAATTAGTTCATTAACTATTTTTAAGAAACCACACAATCTCTCTAGTAATTAGTTAAGAGTTACAACCCTCGACTTTATACTTTACTCCACATTGATTGAGGACATAAAGGAGACTCAACAAAATGCACTTCAAAAGTTTCGCACCTATTCAAAGAGGGTTTTCAACAACTAGCCTCTTAGAGCGTCACAATAAGATTCCCTATATGAGACCTTCAACTTTTAAAACAACACCTTCTCCTCTAGTCCTAAGCCAATCATCATGCTTTAATGCCTACAACATTTTCAATATCAAC